AGGACCTAAATTATGGAACACCCTATTGGATAATGAGTTTAAAAAAAATTCTTCCCTTGATCAATTTAAAAAAAAAATAAAAAGTAAACTTTTGATAATTGACAATGAACTTGACTTCTTCTGAAACTTTTAAATAGGAGTAATTACTTGTTTTTTACTTGATATTTAATTTATTTTTAACATATTAATTTTTGATTTTGATTTGAATCTTTACCTTCTTAAATTATCATGTTTTATCTCATTTTTATTTACTATTAAAATTTGAAATCCTAATAAAAAAAAAAAGCTAAAAAAAAAGATTAAATTTTAATGAAAAATATTTAGATATTTGTATTTATATATGTACCTTACGCATATATTATATTGTGATAACGGATTTTTTTGGTTTTTTGGTTTTTTGTTTTGTTTGTTACTTATATTCTTGTTTGAAGGGGCTTGGCGATAAGACTGAATTTGTCTTCTTCTTGCCCCAGCCGTGTATATACAGTTTTTAAAGTCTAATTTTGTAAATATTTTCTTTATGGCAAAATATATATTATATTATAATTGTATATTCTATTGTACATAATATGCTCTAAGATTTTTGAAAAAGCAAAAAGGATAGTTATAGGGCGATAGCTACTGATATTATAACAGTCTCCTTCTTTCAAAATTGGATTAACTTTTGCAATTTTTAGTCGATCAGGAAAAACTCCTTGGTGGACAGATGGCTTATAAACTTTAAAAATAATATCTTTAAGATGGTCAAAACACTCCATAATTACGTCACCATTAGTTTTTTTTAGCGATTTAAAGGCAATTTCGAATTTATTAAAAGATAATTCTGAGTATATTTCTTTGGAACAATTGCAATGATCCATTGGTACTAAGAAATCATTAAAAGCGGAAGGGGTAAAGTGAACTTTATTAGCTAATTTAGGACCGATTTTGATAAAGTACTTATTAAATTTGCCAAATATAGCTTTAAAGTCATGAATAGATTTGAATCGGTGAATGGGCGCAGTTCAATTATGTAAACTATAGGGAAACTAAAAAATAAAGAAGCATTTTCCCCAGTAGTAAATTTTTGTTAATGGTTCAATAATTTTTTTTGAAGGTGAAAAGCATTATCCTCTTCAAAAAAAAATTTGTTAAACCATTAAGAAAAAATTACTACGGGGGAAAATGCAGATTTTTTTAGTTTCCCGAAAGTTTACATTGTTGGACTTCCACCCTTTTAACATTCACCAATTCATTTGTTATCAACTTTAATCATATGGGGGAAGAAACCTGGACATGTTATTTGATTGCCAGTAATTTTTTTTATTATTTGCCAAGTGCGCTTAGTGTTTTTAAATTTGTCTAATATTCTAGGGTAATAATTTTTTTTTTGAGTCTTTACGAATTTTTTTGAACAAATATTTATAATCTTTGTATATTTTTTCATTTTCAGATGATTTCGTATTAAGACTTTATGTATAACTTCTGTTTTATTTTTGATGACTTTTTGAAACCTTTAGTAACCCAAGAGTTATTAAAATTTTTCATTTTAATTGTTTCTTCAATAATGGTAAAGTTGGCATCATGCACGGCGTAAAATATTTTAAAGAAGGTCTTATAAATGGTGTCACCATTTCCCTTAAAATTAATATGATCCCTGTGCAGAAGAGATAACAGATTTTTAAAAAGATTTATATAAGTAAGAATAATATCACGAATAAATATTAAAAATTGTTTTAGAATTTTTAATTAATCAAAGCGTTTGAGTCGGAAATATTGGGAAATGGTCAGAGATGTCAGATTTTAAAATGTCTTTTTGAATGTCATTGTTAAAGAAATCAGTTACTATGATATTGTCACTTAGATAGGTTGATTTTTTTATTACCCTAGTAGGACGATTATTCAAAGGAACTGCTTCAATTTTAAAAAATGAGTCGTTAAAAAAATTAAAAACTACACTATTCTTATTATATGTAAAGCAATCAATTAAGATCTCAGGCGTGAAACATTTTTTGTTTTATGCCTGAGAAAATAAAACATTTTTTGTTTTCTTTTAAGTCATTTTTAAAGACATTTTGTTCAAAAAAACTGCTCAAGTTCACGCTCACACCATCAGGTAGTCGATAGCAGGTGCTTAATAATATATTTTTTGACGTTTTGTTTATAATTTCAATAGTTAAAACTTCTTTATCGCCGTCAGAAACGTTTGAATCATTTCTAACTAGAAGCGCGATATTTTCATTTTACGTATATAGAAATTCCACCACTACGTTTATTAATTTGTTTTTTAAGCGAAATCAATTTAAGATAAGGAATAAAAAAACGTGTAATGCTATTAAGGTCATTTGAGTTTCTCCATGTTTCAGTTAAGCAAATTTCATCTTTTTAATTGAAAAAGATGAAATTTTTTTTTGTTTCGTCTAATAAGTTGAGTAATTTTTTAAAATTGGAACTGAGGCTTCTAATACTTATGTAAATAATTTTAACTGTGTGTGCATGCGCATTTCTGCATTTAAAATATTTAAAAAGAAGTTCTTCTAATTCATTTGCAAAATGATAGGAGCAATCTGTAAAAAAATTGTTGGAAAAAATTACTGCTTGCTCCGGCCATTGATTTTATTTGTAAATTTATTTAGGTTGTTTCATCTAAACAAAATCTTATTATATTTTTGAGATTTGTACTGTAACATAAATAATGACATCGATATAATAGTTTTTATTTTTGTTAATAAAATTTGATTCATTTTGGGGTTATGATTTTATACGGGGCAATCATGGCCGTATAAAATGGCTAAAAAATAGAAAAGTCTTCAGATATTTGTTTGGTTTGTGGGTAATTTGGCAAGATTAGTGGGTAACCTATGCTGCATGTAGTCACTGGGTTCATAAAGACTGTACTGATCTCCTCCATAAAAACGATATTTTTATTTATAACTGTTGTGGAATCAAGTGATGATATTGATGTGGAATTATTAAAAATAAGTAGTACTAATATTGTACTACTTATTTTTAATAATTCTTAAACTCGTAAACTTATTCTCTTAAACTCTTATAAAACTTATTTTTAATAGTTATTATTCTTGTTTTCATTATTCGCATTCGACAAAAGAATTGGGGTAATGCTGACCTAGCTGCCACAATTGCCCCAAAGTTATGAGGTAATAATTTTTTTCTTGTAATAACACGTTAATTATTTTTTGTACGTACCTGCCAATAAAGTATTTTATAATATACATTGTAGTAATTCTTTTACCATAGTTACAGCTTGGACCATGATAATACAACCCTAAAAATGGCAAAAAACCTTAAGGTGCCACCATTTCCCAAACCTCCCCTAATTGCATTTAAATGTTCTTTTTCACATTTTGTAAGCTATTTAGGTAAATCTGCAGTTAAGCAGCCTAAAATAACTTTATTTTAGCACTCTCGTTCGTAGAGACTTTAAAGTATCTTATAATATTTATTATAAATATATTATAATTATTATAATGGCTAATTATATTATATTATGTAGGGTAGAACGGGGCATATTAGGACACTTAAGAAACAAATGCTAGTTGCGGATAAACTAATCATCATTAACACTATTTTGTATAAATATCCTGAATATCATTGATATAAGAAAATAAATAAGCAAAAAAAAAAAATTTTTTTTACTAAGTTACGATAACCAAAGTAACAAATCTCTAGACTAGCAAAACTTTAACATTTTGAAAGGGGTAAAACGGGACGGTTAAAAAGTAGCAGTTATTCGTCAATTGATGAAAAATGAAGGCTATCTATCGTCTAAATATGTCCAGACATTAAACTCTCAAAAAAGTACATACCCATAGAAACTACACGCCCATACACCTATGCACTACAAATAAGAAATAACAGCTGAAACAAAAAAAACAAAAATTTATGTTTTATTTTATAAATAATACAGACAAAAAGGCTCAATAAACACAACAACAAAAAAAAGATTTACAATCTGTAACCATCAGCTATTTAACTATCTTTAAAAAAATAAAACATTTTAAATTCACTTTTTTTAAAGACATAATAATATATATTGTAATCACTTTAAAATAATTTTTTCATTAGTAAAAGCTGCAAGCCTAAAATTGAAGAATCCTTGAAAGAAAATTGGAACAAATTTTAGTTTGAAAATTTTTTACAATTTTCTTGCTGAAATTTGAAAGCGTAAAATTGTAAAGTTGCATCTTTTTACTTGTCTATATTATATCTTCTTAGATCTTTACTAAGTTTTCTACGTTATATCTTCTCAGATTATTATTCATTATTCTTTCATGGAAACCATGAAAATTATTATAAAGTTAGTATCTGTTAAACCTTTCATTATTGTACTTGCCATTTTTGTACTTATCTATCTCTACAAATCTCTTATTCTTCTCTGTAAGGAATACTGCTGTCAGGGCCGAATTTACCTAATTTACTCCTAACAAGGCTGCAAGTAACCACTATTTATGTTTAGAGCTACCAAAAAATAAAGTACTGTTTAGGAGCCAAAATGCAATAGGCTTATTTGTTATTACAATAGCTGTCTATTGGCGCTTGGTTTTGCATAATAAATTTATGATAAATTTTTGCATTTCTATTCTACGGATTGAATGTAAACTTCTAAATTTAATTTCTGCACAAAATTTCTTTTTTCTGCAATAACGACGCATATGTATTATTTTAGGTCCGTCTCATATTTTATACTAACGAGTTCTTATGTTTTAATTATTTATATAAATGTTTAATTTATACATTCAATTTTTGTTATGTAACTTTTTAACAACTGATTAAAAAGGTATTTAAGGATAAGTAACGTTATTTTGATAGCGCCAAAGTGCTATCAAAATAACGTTACTAAAATATCTAAAATATCCACAACAAAAACAAAATAAGTAAGGATTCGATTTTTAAAAATATTTGAGGTGTTGCAATATACATAAAAAATACTATATCAGTAGCTGAAACAGATATAACGCGATTAAACTCATTGGACATAGAGCAAGTATGGCAAGTTATAAAGTTAGGGAAAGAGCCGATTCATTAGCAATGATCTACCGCTCCGAAGTCTCACTCCGAAGGCAAAGTACCTAACCTATGGAAACAGTGAATTATAACACCAATCTTCTAAACCGGTAGTAGAAGGAAGCGCTCAAACTAAAGACCGCTATCACAAACATTAGTACTGTGCAAGATAATGGAGAGCTTCATTCATGAGTGAATCACAAAGTACTGCTATAACAATGATCTATTCACAAAGGATCAACACAGTTTTTTACCTAAACGAGGCTGTGTCTAACCTACTAGAAGCTTACAACATTCTGATGGACGCAGTACACCGTAACTATGCCATAGACGTTATATAAACTGACTTTCCAAAAGTCTTTGACAAAGTGTTGAACAAAAGACTTCTGCATAAACTAAGAGCTTACGGTTTATGCGGCGCACTGTTCAGGTGGATATCAAACTGGCTGGCTAACCGAAAGCAATGGGTTGTTGTTGGCAAAGCTACTGAGTAGAAAGAGGTAACTAGTGGAGTACCTCTTGGATTGGTACTAGTACCGTTGCTCTTCATTCTCTACATAAATAACCTACCGGACAACATAGCTCACCACATTAAGATATATGCCGACAACAGCAAAATACTAGTTTTCATCAAAAAAGAGGAGGGCAAAGCACGTCTTGAGCTAGATATTGATAAAACAGTAGAATGGTACAAAATGGTGGCTAATGCTCTTTAACATGGACAAATGCACGTAGGGTGCTCCAACAAATCAGTCTAATACTACACAATGACTGATCAGACGGGAATAAGACAAAAACAGGGTACAACAAAACAGTAGAATGGCACAACAAATTCAATTTTCTCAACACAAAACATGTTGAGAAAATTGAATTTGTTGTGCCTCAAGTCTAAGCGTAAACGCTTTCCTAGTGTAAATTTCTTGGCAATAACTTAGGACTTACCAAGCCATTAGTCAAGAACTGTATCGAAAGAGAAAAGTTCTTGTAGTCAACACTTGGAATGCTTTACCATCAAGCGTTGTTAACTCCTTTTCAACCGACGCATAAAGCGTCCAATATTTGTAGTTGTGTCCAATATTTGTAGTTTAAGCGTCTAAAATTTGGAGGTGCCTGGTGCTGTATATGTGTATATGAATGTGTAAGTATATATATATTTATATGTGTGTAAATAATTTATGGGTGAATATTTATACATGTATAATTAAAAGATTTTTATCTTTTTAGGCGGTTCTCAATGACAAGACCTTATACTCTTTTACAAGTGTTCGCATTCTTATTGTAAAGTTAACAAAGTTTGTAATTCTTATTATATGTATTTTATGTATTTTATTCATTCAAAAAAAGTATTGCTTCACTAATCATTGAAGTTTATCCAAAAGTACCTCCTAGAAAAAGAAATATTAAAAGCAGGCAACTAAAAACAAGGGTTTTGACTGATACTCCAATCAGAAATAAAATTTGTGTGTCAGAAGAAAAAATAACTCTAAACCAAACTAACCAACAAAAGAGACTAATCACAAAGATAAAAAAATGGTAGAAGATAAATACTACTTGCTTAGGAATAAAAAAATAAAAAACAATGTAAAATAAAAGCAGCTTCACCACTTGACTTTGACAAAAGATGATAATATAAAATAATAACTTTATATATATATATATATATATATATATATATATATATATATATATATATATATATATATATATATATATATATACATATATATATATATATATATATATATATATATATATATATATATATATATATATATATATATATATATGATAATATAAAATAATAACCTATATATATATATATATATATATATATATATATATATATATATATATATATATATATATATATATATATATATATATATAATATATATATATATATATATATATATATATATATATATATATATATATATATATATACATATATATATATATATATATGATAATATAAGATAATAACCATATATATATATATATATATATATATATATATATATATATATATATATATATATATATATATATATATATATATATATATATAATATATATATATATATATATATATATATATATATATATATATATATATATATATATATATATATATATATATATATATATATATATATATACATATATATATATATATATATATATATATATATATATATATATATATATCAGGAGGGCCCATATTACTTATTAAAGACCTTTTTTTTTTCAGTAAATATATATATATATATCAGAGTATATATACATATATATATATATATATATATATATATATATATATATATATATATATATATATATATATATATCAGAGTACATATATGTATATATATATTCAGAGTATATATATATATATATATATATATATATATATATATATATATATATATATATATATATATATATATATATATATATATGTATATATATATATATATATATATATATATATATATATATATATAAATATCAGAGTATATATATATATATATATATATATATATATATATATATATATATATATATATATATATATATATATATATATATATATATATATATATATAGACATATAGACATATAGATATATATATTTATATATATTACTTATCATGATTAGAGCATAATTTTATTTAAAAAAACTTTTGAAATCTAGTATTACATGACCTTTAGATTCGTTTTTAAATAGATCTTTTTTTCATTAATATATTTTATTATGCTTTTCCACTAAATGTCAACTATTTATATTACAAATGTATTATTTAAGAAATAACCATTTATAATATTGTTTAACCCTAAACTTTAATATAATAGAGTGTTATTTTTTAAAATACGGGATTGTTATTTTTTTAAATACGGGTCGTCCATAAATTACGTCACGGTCCAAGACAGGGGGGTGGAGAGAACAGTGGTTTTGTGACGACTCCATACAAATGTGACTTAAATTTAAAATTTCCAAAAAAAGAACTTATTTGGATAAAAAATTTGAATAAAAAACAAGGAAGTGTTTCATCTACGCAAGAATTCTGCATGGATATTAAATGAACTGCCAAGCTTAGATTCAAAAATTTACGCAAGTCAATCGATCAAACAAGACTCAATCAACTATGTAAAGAAAAGAGAATTAAAGAAGTGAAAAAGGTTCATCAGTAACATTTTATCCCATAATAAATTTGATGTTGAAAATATGGATGTTGCAAAAGAAATGAATAATAATTCTCATGTTGATCTGTTCAGTGATAAAATCAGTGATAACGAAGAGGAATCAGCATTAGATAAATAAGAAAATTATGTTAAGCAAAACTACCTTGATATTTGTATTTTTGCCATTGCCTTTGTCTGATTTAGTGTGTCATCGACTGCAATCATTAATGAAAGATATTATGAAGGCAGGAATATTTGTTGAAAATAAAAAAACTTATTTGTGATACATAAAAATTTTTAGTAACAAAGAACGTGTTATAAAGTATTCTACACCTTTTCTGGATCAATTTAAAAGGAATACGAATCAATTAAAAGGAATACGAATCAATTTAAAAGAAATACGAATCAATTTAAAAGAAATACGAATCAATTTAAAAGAAATACGAATCAATTTAAAAGAAATACTAATTTAAATTGATTCGTATTCCTTTTAAATTGATTCGTATTTCTTTTAAATTGATTCGTATTTCTTTTAAATTGATTCGTTCGTATTTCTTTTAAATTGATTCGTATTTCTTTTAAATTGATCCAGAAAAGGTAGAGTAGAGGAAAATTTAGACTGTGAAAGAAGTATAATCACTGCATTTTTTGTTTATGGTAGTAAAAATAAAACTTTAGTTCATTTACATTATAAAACCACAGACACCTTCACAAAAAAATATACCTGTGATATATACAAACCATATACCTTACTTAATATAAACCAGAGCCTAAATCCAAGTAATTTGCTATTGGAATATTCAATTGTTTATTAGAAAGAGATAAATATCTTAATCTCCAACTAATTGGCTGGATAGAAAGATGAATTGCTTTGTTTTGTGGAAGAACTTCTTGATATTCATATTAAGTCTTTTTGCTAGCTTCACATTAATAAACTTCCATTCCGTCGTATTGTAGAAAATCTTAAGGGACCAACCTCTTCAGATAAAAGATGGTGGAGAGCATTTGGTTAGCTATTTTTGAAAGTTGATAATTTTTTTTCTGATAAGGAGGGAGGGTTTTCTTTTTATTTTTTTTTTTTTCCATATATTTTTACAACTACATAGCTTTAACAATACATACTTTTATTACAAATAGTTTTAACAATATATACTTTTTTTACAAATACAGTCAAAATGCTTTGAAAATAACTGAAATAATACTAAGATATATTTGATGTACAAAGTAATAAAATAATGTAAAATAGTTTTTCAGTTTATATTTTGAAAAGACAAAAAAAGTCTTAAAAAAGGAAAAATTAAACCTTTAGTTATGTAGTCAATGGAAACTCGCAGAAAACTGTGTAAAGTCATCGAGAACCCTTTTTTTTTAAACAATTTCATGAGATACTCATAAGATTTAAGGTTTAGAACATAAGGTTTAGAACAGAGTTTTTTTTTGGTGGTAGTGGGGAGGAGAAAGAGGGGGTTGAGATAATCCCAGTCTATTAAATTTTATAAAACTTTGTTACGCATAGTATAATAAAAAAAACTTCACATCTTAAAAGTTTACTGATGGTTTCTTTTTATATCAGTTTTACTTATTAGCAAAATTTGGCAATTTCAATAGGATGTTATCAGTTTTATTTAATTAACGGATTACGGAATAAATTACAGAAAAAACAAATTTAAAATGTTTTTTTAATATAATGATATTAAAAAAACATTTTAAATTTGAGCAATTATGAAAAGATCGGAATTATCTTTAAATAGAATAAATTGTAATGATAAATATAGATCATTTATATGTAGTAGAAACAATAATATAGATTATTGTATAAAATGTGATGATAAATATAGATTATTTATGTATAGTATGAACAATAATCGCCCTAAATGTAGTCGCGGGGAACTTTACGTGTTGTTTGGTATTTAAATCAATTATAACATATGTAAATTGTTAGCCTTCAGCATTTCTAAAATTATCTTGAGATAATGCATTTTTAACATATATATCTTATTATAGCTATTTCAAGAAAATATTATAACTCATAATAGATTATTATATAATAACTTATAATATAATAATCTATTATAAGATCGCAGTGATATAAATAACAAAAATTTATATGAAGAAATATAAGCATTTTGTGCAATTTGTTACATTTATGAAAAAACAACTACTTATTTGATCTACATTTTCGGAAATTTTTTTTTAGCGAACATAAGTATAATGCACAATAGATATGTTCTTGTTATACGAAACTAAACACGTTAAAACAAACTTTATTGAAATGCATTTAACTTTAATTCATTGCTACATAAATTATGCGTTGCTTGGAGCAGCACTAACGTAATTAAAATAAATGATTTTTAATTACACAAAACATGTTTAAAATTGAATTAGTGCAAATATGAATTCTTGTCATGCAATAAATTTCTATTTAATTAACTAAAAACTCTCAACGTTTTTCTACTTTTATCACAATTTTGTTTTTATGTTCAAAGTTGATAAAAAAGGTATCCATCTTGTTTAACTTAAGTTAAACATTATGACTTTAAAGTCATAATGAGATAGTCTTCTCATTATGGCGGTTAAAGTTAGCTATCAAAAAATACTTGATACCCTTAAATATATATTTGATGAAAGTTTTGAAAAAGCAGAATGTAAATTAGAGGCAAAAATTAAAAAAAAATTTACCAAGCAGGAAACAGCAGTTTTAACTGCTGTTTCCTGAAATAATCTGAGACTGACTTGATATTTAATAATTCTTAGAGCAACTTAATAAAGACTCAACAAAACTTAACAAAATACTACAAACTTCTGGTTTAGATATATGTAGGATAGGTATGAAGGATACACTTTGCTTCATTCACTGAAGTTATATTTTAAAACTTTACGTGAACATTCCGAGCCGAAATTAATAGACTTTGAGAATAAAGCAGTCGAAATGAATCCAGAAGTTAAAGAAAAATTTAGTGATAAAAGAGTAAAAACAAAAATAAATTCGGATGGAGAAAAAAAAAAGAGAGATTTTTATTGGAAGGGAAGTTTTGATACTGGAAATAAATTCAAATTTTTAATGAACCTGGGCAAAAGACGTTCAGTTTTTGAACTTAAATTAATGAAGACCGTTATGTCATTATATAAAAATGATACCGGAGAAGAACAATATAGTGAATGCAGTCAATTTCAA